CCTACCACCGCCATCACGAGCATATTTTAAATTTATTTTATTTTCTTCGAACCAAATAAAAAATATAATCTCCTACATTTATTTTACACCAAAATGGAACAACATAAAAGTATTTCAAATACATTATTTTTCAATTATATTGTATTCCTTTTATAATAGATTCTTTTTTCATGAAACCGTATAGTCCCTAAGTAAGTAAATTTTGTCATAGACCTAATTGATAACTGTCCATATCTTTGGAATTATAACTCCATATTGAGTCAGTATGCCTTGGCTTGCCCAATTAGTTTATATTGACAAATCGAACTTGTTGGTCCTTGGATAAACCTCCGGTCAATACTAAACCTTGTGCATGGGCCAATTACAAAACACATTTTGTTTTGATGGTTATCGAAAGTTGGAAATTGAACTTTGACCTTTGTGGTGATGACACCATTTGGGCCACATTTAATATGCCACGGGGCAGCATAGAGCTGATGAAAACCTCTTTGAAGCTCCACATAGTGATGAGGATAAGCTCTAGGGGAAGTGGTTGTGGTTGGTATTCATCATTTTTATCATAGTTTTTTCCAGTTTGACGACAGTTCTAAATGGAATTCCTTTCATCTCAATGCAATTATCCATAGGGAAAGGGAAAACTTAATTTCCTTATTGTGGAATAGGTGGCGGTAAATTTGCACCAAGAGTGAAATCATCGTCATTATCAATGTGATTTGGTTGCTCTGGATTTGAATCTTGGTTTTGGGGCCTAAATTTCTGCAGATTGCTATTTTCAGTCAGATCATTCTTAGCAGGCAAATCATTTTATGTTGTTTCTTGTTGAAGGGACGGATAAAGGATTTTATCAAGCTACTGATCAACAAGACAACCCCAATAAAGATGTCCATTGCTGGTGATCATTCTGAAATTTTTTCGTTTTGTTAAATGCAAAAAAAAATTATAATATAATGCAAATGGCTTGAAAAGATGAGCTAAAACAATGCAAGGATCAACTTGTTTTAATACTAAAAATGATTTAAAATGCCAATTACTGAGGTTATGATCTTCAATAAAAAATCAAAATTAAAATAAATTATAGGAAATAGTTTTTAGTAAATTTCGTGGGATTTTGAAGAAGTCGAGGAAAAAGATTTAAGTTTAAGTAGATTGGTCATGAACTAGCACAGGTTCAAAGTCAAAAAAGACTAGTGTTAAAAATGAGTAATAACAATTGAAAAGATCACAATGTAAGCAAATTAATGCAAAAATAAGCTATTGTAAAGACAGTATAATTCAGATGAAAGTTTCGACAAAATTTAAGCTATTATAGGAGAATATTATGTAGATAGAGAAACAAAAAAGTGTGTAAAACGGAAATCAACTAGAATTTTTGATAGCCGGAATACTTTGTGATATGCAATCAATTCTTCCTTTAAACTTCAATCTTCTTAAGCATGGTAAATCTTCTAGGGGTGAACAATAAAAAAGGTCCTTAGAAAGAGAGCGTGCAAGAAAAAAAAATGGAACAAGAATCTTCCATTAAAATTTAATAATCAAAATACAAGTGTTGGAGAGAGATTGGATGTAATCTCCATAAAACCAACTGCCATCTAACTTAAATCAATGCAGCAGGTGAAGGGATGGCAGACCGGTGTAAAAGAGATGGTGGACAATGTGAATGAGTAAATAGAGAGGAAGTTTCTAGTAAAAATAACAATGAAAACCAACTTCTAAAAGAGAAAAAATAAATAAGAGGGGAAGAGGAAATAATTGAAAACCAAATTGAATTAAAAACCAAAGGGGAAAGCTGTGGTGTGCTAACGTGTGCGTACATGCATGAAGGAAGTTAGATGCACAATAACCCATAATGGCACTAATTCAATGTGACTCAATAACACGGCTATACTCAAATACAAGTAAACAAATGAAAATATGTCACCAATTGATTCATAATTATGACTCCTAAGTACAGCATGATGGGTTCTAATTGCAACAAGATATCTTAACTAGCATCAATAAACCCTAAACATCATCGATGAAGATGGCTCTGATCAAAATGCTCTACATGGCAAAAGAAGTCCGATAGATCCTTCTTTATGTTGCTTCTCAATGTTATAATTCTGCAATCGAGATGTCCATAGAGAAATCAAATAGAGAATTCTTCTCCAAATGCTCATGAAATCCTAGTCCTAGAGGATATGTAGTGGAAGCCTCCAAAGTATGGTTTGATAGACCCTAGAAGAGATTGTTTATGTAGCCTCCAGTCTACCCTGCATGCAAACCAAGAAGGAATGAAGTTGCATGCATATCAAGTATGTAGTGGCAATCTCGATTGTCCAATGATGTTAAGTGTTTGGGATCCTTCAGTAATATTAAGTTAAACTTACAATACTAGTGAGAGTAGAGACTGTAGTAAAACACTATTCTTTCTTTCGACATTAGTTCTTTGAAAGTTTTTAATGCATTTGCTCACCTTCTTCATCTTTAATTTAAATGTAACTTGACCTCGAGGAAATATTTAAATTTTGAAATGATACTGATAATCTCCAAGCTAATTACACATTAACCCAAAGGTTGTCTACCATCTTGCCACATGTAAAAGCTTCTGGCCTACAAATTTGTGTTGTCCTTCGGCTACCTGATATCACCCGCCATACGTGATTGTGGAAATGAGGTTGATTATTTGAATTGGTAAAAATTTAGATATTATTGTCAAGATTCTGAATTTAAATCTTATTCACATCAAATTAGTCTTTCACTACAACAACAACAACAAAGACTGAATCTTGACAATAATATCTAAATGAAAATATGACTTATTTAGTGTCATATTTAATTTGGATTAAAGCTTTGTTGTTGTAGTAAAAGACTGAATCTTGACAATAATATCTAAATGAAAATATGACACAATGGAGAAAAAGACTGAATCCTTTTTCTCCATTGTGTCCTATTTAGTGTCATATTTTCATTTAGTTCTAGTAAATTAAGATCATTTTTAATACAATAAGCCCAAGTTTTCCTAGGTCTACCTCTGCCTTTCTTAACACAAGTCGAATCTAAAACATCTATTCTCCTAATCGGATCATCAGATGGTCGACATTTAATGTGACCAAACCATTTAAGACGACTTTCTCTAATTTTGTTCGTCACAGGAGCTACAGCAACCCTCTCACGAATATATTCATTTCGCATTTTGTCTCTAAGTGCAAAGTCACTCATCCACCTAATCATTCTCATCTCGGCAACACTTAACTTATTATTATGCTTCTCTTTTAAAG